ATGAAGGCCAGGCCAAAGCCATGTTAAAGGTACAGGTTGGTGTTGAGAAGATGTTAATTTAAACAGCTAGTATTTCGCGTCATACCTCCACTTTATACCAATGAATGAGCCCGATTTAGCATGTCATCTGATCTAAACTCTAAAAGCGATAGGGGGCTCCGTCTCGAAATTTCATTACGCCAGAAACTGGCGAAGGGTGGGGCTAAGATAAAAGCCACAAAAAAGGACATTCATAGGCGGATCCTCAATCATTACTAAATGCCAACTTAGACAATTCGGGTTCAAGGTTCCATGTATATGTTTATTTCCTCACTTATCAGCTATGACTTCTTATAAACGCAAACTATGATCTCACCTTAGCCACGTACTTTAACACTATACAATCAATCATAAACTCTACGCTAAACAACAGCTGGTTCCAGGAAAGCAGATCACGAGGGATCGTTTTTCCAACCGCGATTTGGTAGCTTACACGGAAAGCCACTGGATCGTATTTCCTCAATGCTAGCCCTTTATGAACATCATCATCCATTTAACTAAAATGTTCTTTCTTCAAAACGTCTAGTCGAGGATATGGGCAAAGACACTAAGGGCAAACAACCTATACTTTCGACAGTCGCACAACTTCCAACAGTAAATCATATCTCTCTTTATATGCTTTATTCCCGATCTTTATAATCTTTTATTCGATCACATTAAAAACTTTAAATATTGGCTAATGGGGCCTGAGTAACTCAGGGTCCACTTCATGCCTAATAGCATCTTCATAGCTTAGCCGAAATATCAAAAAGTCTACTCTCCTCTACGCAAGACCCTAATAGACATCCCCCTCTTCACTTTGGAAATGCTGGTAGAGTGGTTTTATATCTAGAAATAGATAAAGGCATTTAGGGCAAACAACCTTAATTTTCGATTTGCCCATTATGATCTTAAGCAATCGAAACCTCTCAATATCAGACATAGGGGAACAGAGTAAGACAACTTTGATTGATTGAGATAGAGAGCAAGATATAAGGAATTGATGTGTGATAGAGACCGAGTAAAAAAACTTTTTTAATGATCTGTCGAGCTGGTTAGGATTTTTGGAGAGCATTAGCAACTTTATATATCTCTTCGCAGCTAAACATGGATAATAGTAAAGATCCCTACGGTTTTTATACATGCGCAAGGCTGCGGCCAACTAGAATTGTCTAAGGATCACCAGGTTTCTTCGTTATATTTTCTATATGCAACTCGTTTAAGGCAATAATCCCTTAATATCGGGCCTTAGTAGCGCCTCTATGGCATTCGGATGTTTCAATAAAGCTATGGAAGTATATCAAATTACGCGTAGAGCAAGCAGCTAGAATGAAAGCGCAAATTAAGGGATTATCAATTCTTCTAACTCGTTGCAAATCATGATAAGCCATACAGTAATACTATTAAGTCTCTAACTTCTTTCATGACATAGAACACATATTTTTGGTAGACAACCTACAAATTCAACTATAAAGCACCTACCTTCCACCAGCATTCCTGGATTCCTTTCACTAGCAGGAGTGACTCTTCATCTCACCAGGTATTAGTTCTAGTAAAAAAGTACTTTAGCTTGATCTCGCGACCTATCAACATTGTAATTTAAATGAATTTCCTAAGTTCGCTTACTAGAAAGTTTTCATTGCTAACACTCCAGCGAAGAGTTTCAGGTATAAACCATATGGGATCAATATCCCTAGTGAGTTCAGTGACGCGAATGACATTTTAGATTTGAGCGAGTGTGATTACCGCGTCACTATTCCTGTATACCTTTTGCCAAGCTTCAATCATTTATTATGGAATACCGATAAATATTTTGTCATATAGCCTAATGGCTATGTTCTCTACGAGCTATTAGAAACTATCATGCCTAGCCTAAGTAGATCACTTACTCGTGATTTTCATCAATTATGATATTTCCTCTCTTTAGAAATATGTAGTCTTATCGTTCTGACAAGATTAGAGGGTTTCAAATGGCCAATAATAAAGCGAATAGAATAGATAGAAGGCTAGTTATTGTTTTAAGAAGTTGAGACTACTTTAGGGACGTTAGGGCTTTTTATAACCTATTGTTGTTAGTAGATACCTATCCTCCTTTTGACTTCGCCGAGACTAGTAAAAGGGTTCCTGGAAGCTACCGATAAGACTAGATAGATCCATAAGTGATGACTACTATATATAGAACCCGAGGGTTATAGAAAATAGATGCTAATGGCCGAGTCATGAATTCATAGTCATATATTATACTTTACTGCCGAAGTCGAAGGCGAGATTTTAGTAATTATAGGGCGGCTTACCTATAATAAAAACTCAGTACTATTCTATAATGTTTTAAAGCCTTCTACTATCTTTAAAATATATTTGGCCCCCGCCATCATATTTAGCTTTTAGTCATTAAATTCTAATAGCCTTGGCTTAGGTAGAGAGGCAGAATCCACCTATAAGATCAACTTCACTAATTCTACTAAACTGCCCTTTTCTAATATAATCAACCCGCTATCTGATAGGAAAAACTTCATCTGCCAAATACCTGGCTCGATATAGTAGAAATCCTTTAAATAGCCTCCATACTTTACTTCCGCGCTAAGAGAGATTAAGGACTTTCGGTTAAATACGATGGCAAGCCGAATCAATTTACCTTTATCTAAGTTATATACACTAGGGGAACGCAATCTCGTTTGCATGGCGCCTAGAAGGAACTAAAGCTCTCTATTAAAGTCACCTTTCTCGCTTACCTCCTTTATAATCACGAGAAAAACCTACTAGGGTGTGAACTTAGGGCGTGAAGATTTGAAGGTATCTTGGTATTAAAGAAAGATATTGCCCTCTAGGTATACTAGGCATCCTTTCTCATGTTTCACCACGCTTAAAACGCCAACTTTACTTTAATCAATAAATTTAAACTCCATTTCGAGGGGATGGAGAGGGGAAATAGAAACCTTAAAAAGCCTCCCGGGGTAGCCAGTATTTTAGCTTAGTCATATTTTGTGGCAGTTAAGGATAAGTTAGGCGATGCTATGGTGAAAGGATGGTATAGCCTTAAGTATTTTTATGATGTACTATGTATAGCCTCATGAAAAATACATTAATTTCTACCAACATGATAGTGTAAACAGCATTATTAGAGGTTGCTATACAAACAAGATTTGGTAAGGAACATGGTGAACATCATCTATTGCGTTATTTAAGAAATAGCGAAAGACCTATATTCAGTATCGCCTTTCGAGATTTATACGACGACTAAGCTCTATGATCTTATCCCTTTCAATGCCGTATTTCTATTTTAGACGCATACACTCTTCGTTCCCTAGGAGAGCCTTCGCTGCCTATAACTTGCCCTAGAGCTTTAGTAGCTGATCCTCACCCGACGTTTTTCCGGTGATGGATTGACCGCTAAGGACATAGCCTTCCGATTCATCCTCGTATTTAACGAAGAAGCAGATATGGACGTATTATACACTATAAATGGTACCCTCCTATTTTTCGAACCTTTCGATTGTTCTGACAACTTCTAGGTTCAATATCTTTGCTCTCTGGATCCGGGCCATCGCTCTATATCGTTAGCATTCATAGAATTCCAACAGGAAATTTACCCCATAATAGCTTACAATATTTCAGCCGGTGCCGTATAATTGATATAGTCTATCTTAGGCATCTGCTCTCTAAGCTTTTGCTTGTTCTTAATATCTCGTTCGCCCTTGGCGGAGCCTTCGGTTTAGATTGGGGAGAACGTGGTCTTGTACCAGAGAGGAACAGGCTGACTTGGTGTATACGAATAAAACAAGGGACGTACCATGCAAAGACAAGCACTTCGTTGGGACGAATTTCAGAGGTAGACACTGCCACAAAATGAGTATGTTTTATGTGTCATTTCAGACGAATTCAATACGGTCAAGTAGGCGTGACGTCAAGATTCACTCGCTTGGAGCTCCTTTCTGGCTCATTCCCCTTCTCTCATTCTTCTGACATGATTGGGGAAATATCCAGGGGTATATGGTCCAAGCCCAAGCCCAGAAAAAGCGATTGGACCGAGATCGTTGAGTAGCATTTCATGAGGAGCCTTTGTATATCCACTTTAGAGTCCTGCGACATTGTGGCGAAGTCGGTAATGAGGTACGTTCTAAGCGTCCAATGATTGATACTAATCTTAACGCAAAAAGCAAATATCGTGTTTGACTGCTTGCCTTACCCAAACTTATTCCTAAACATTTCCCATGGTTCGGACGAGGAATAGCTCGTATACTGAATGGCGAATCAACCCTATTAAGGGTGCCCAATCAAATACCGTCGCACTCTAACCCTTGGAAGTCCAAGTCTACATACTTCAGACTTGCTGGATACTAGCGCGTTCTTAGCGTTTACTCCACATCATCAAGATGGAGAAAAGGAAGCTGACCGTAGCTAATTTTAGACCTGCATTGGTGAGCGTCCTAAGCTCTTCGCACATTCTGACACCACAAATCAAGATGTGAACGGAACCACTAATCTCAAATAGGAACACTCAATGAGTGTTACAAATTCGGCCTAGCGCCGAAATTTCCCAGCTATGCAATAAGCGGTTCAGATAACTGGGAATCCCGAGCTATTCTATGACTGTCAAGAAGGGAATAATTGAGTGCATTCAACCCAAGGGTTTCGTAACCATGCATCGAGAATAAGAAGCAACCGTATAAGGCAGCTTCAGATAGCTCAGGAGAATAGCAGCAATCTTGAGGGGGTCTCGGGAGGTTGCCAGAAGAATGGTGATATCCGACAGTGTTAGGATGGTGTTGGTTAAGGAACAATTAGAAAAAGACGATAGAAATTTCTCTGTTGTAAAGTGACCTACACGTGTTTCTAGCACGTGACTACTGCAAACATTAAGGAGTTGTCCAGGATATACCTGGGACAAGCGTCTACCCCGCCCTCATTACTGAGCTATCACCAGCACATACAATCTGCGACTTCGCACTCCCGCTGAATGCAATAAAGAGAAGGCATAGATTATGCTAATTCAACGTCAATACTGTTTCGAGGGCAGTGATGCTGCTTATATCAAGCATCTCGAGGCACGAGTTTCTGACTTGGAGAAGAGGCATTCTGAGACTCCCCAACAGTTCCGACTCGTGCGCTGTGAGACTTGTAGTAGGTCATTCACTGATACTGGAGTCGCCCCTGAGATCAGGTCCGGAATAGATCAATTCCCAATCCATCCAGGAGAGGCACCAAAAACCCACGAAAAGGGAAGTATTTCGCGGTTGTCGGATGTCGGGATGCGAGGTCAGGAGAGCGTGGGGAGACACGGGGCGGAACGCCGCATCGAGCAACAGCAGTCAACACCTTCAAACAGCGAACCTTTGAACAGTACGTCAAGCGAAGGAACTAGCTTCAATATTGTCGTCTGGGATCCTCTCGGCGACCCCAAACCGCGCTCTCGAAAGACCAACGGCGAATACGATCAGACTCAAGCAAAGTTGTTCAAGGATTTTGTCGGTCTGACAAGCAATTTGCCGACAACTTCAGATTGGAAAATTGGTAACTCAGAGCGAGCAACTTATCACTGGGGTAATATAAGCGCGTTTAAATTGAACTTGCCAACTGGTCTAAAGCAACCCAGTGTCTTACCACTTACCCATAGCTCTAAGCCCGCGCCCATCTCCTCCCCACTCATCTCACCCTCAGTGCCAATCTGTACATCTGTAACAATCGGCTACCCACGCACGTCCATAGAAACTCTACTTACGGGTTACATTAATGTACCTAAAGTATCCGAGAAGAAAAATGCGAACTTCCGAAAGCTCGTACTCTGTTCAGCATGCTTGGTTGCTATGGAGACTACCCATGCCAGCTCGAAAGATGATGTTTACGAAATACTAAGGCGAATCTTTGAATCCGATGCTAATATTAGTTGGCTTCAGTCCCTATGCCGTGGAGCGAAATGGATTACTTAGGCTACCTCTCTATTATCGACTACGAAATGGAAACTACGGAGCTGGGATATCCCGTATCTTTATATGCACGTCCCTTCCGCCCAACGAGGATCCTTATTAACATCCATAAGCTGGAAAGAGCCTTAACTTCTACGCTCGATTATCTGACTACTCTATTCGACCAGAAAATTATATGAAGGACGCAGAAAAATATATTGCGGAGAGTTGTTATATAGCAAGCTGCCTTAAGAACTATCCAAACTCGTCACTGGCTGCTCCAATCCCCTTGATCGTGGAGATAGTCCTGCAGAAAACAGTTCCGTAAGTCCTTTACTTTACAATCAATAGAGTCTTACTTATAGCTATCCAATCAGATTAGAGACGATTTGTGAACATCTTGGCTATGACCTAACTCATCTTGACAAATTGCGAAGTAATATATCTAGGCGGCCTTCTCGTTACGAGATATCTAAATACTCATGGACCAACGAAAAGCGGGGAGGGCCCCAACAAAATAAAGTGCCAAAGGAAAAAAAGAGGCATTGTGCACGCTATCTGATGCATAAAAGTTAGTATTATTTGAAATAGGGTCTAAGTACTGGGTATTAACGAGTCATTAATCTTCAGGTGCGCAAGATGGAAGTCACGTGCCTAGGCAAGCCTTCGCAACGGATATCGAGGCAAATCAGCGTGCCCCGCTTAGTGACAGCACGGCGATGAATGGCGTATCGCTCAGCACATACCAAAACTCTAAGCTAGGTCACCTGGCAGAAGAACCTGGGACGAGCGATGCGTGGTTTAGTATCTACCAAAACCACGAGCTTGGCTAGCCTGCAGAAGAATCTGGCATGAATGATGGGTGGTTTAGTATCTACCAAAACGCCAGGCTCGATGAGCTAGCACAAGTAGGAGATGAGTTGAACAGCAAGTTGTTCAGTTCGTATTCAAACCCAGAACTGGGCGAGGTAGCGGTGTAAAATGACTCTGGTCCTATCTTATGCGGCAACTGAACCAGAGATATGATTAGTGAATTTTCCATACACCCGCCTGAAGTTGTTCAGGCAATGTACTAAATTTTCTAGTTCATACATTTATATGCACGCTAAGCTTCCAGTTCGTATTTTATACACATATATGTCGGCCGGAAGACAAGAAATGCAAAGTTTAACATTTGTAAATCGCTCGATTAAAGAATGCAAATTAAAAAATTTGTACAGTGAATATCAAATAAAACCTATACTTCAGCCTATTATAGAATTATTATCAAATAATCCAAATATGCATCTAAATGCAAAGTCTCCGTGAGGCGAATATAGGTGCTAGGCTCAAGGACTTCACCTACAACCTAAATGGTTCCGGGACTGGTGCCCTCTGACGTTAGCCCGATGGACAAAGGGAAGAGTAGGACTAAGCGATCATCATCGGGCTTATCGATGGACGAATCTCCGCATATACGCTACAGCGAAGCAATATACTATTTTCCATTTAGAACCTAATATACGCTCGAGGGGAATAGCGATTTTACCGGTACGTTCGCGTATCCTAGTTTAACTAGAAATAGACCGACGTTCACTCCACGCGCTTTATCAACACAAACCAAGCGGTTTTTCCTTCCTTTCTCAGGTTCTATGCGAGAGCTCTTGACCCATGATACCAAATGATCAAACTCCTACTACGCATCGGGGTTGAATTTCGTGGAGGGCATGGTTTTAGAAACACGAAGGCTACTACACTAGACACAAGTTATAGGGTCCACCGAATTAGAAAGGAATAATCGGTGACTTGCCTTTTTTGGCCATTCAGAGCGATGATTTCTAAGACAACCAACTACCTTTTGGAGGGGTAGACAGTAGGATGTTTCGATGCCCGATCTCTCGGTCCTTTCACGGACTAACTAATTTCCGGAGCGAGCTCCCCAATATCCTAATCGCCAATCAGCAGACCAGGAATATCGTTACCATAATTATCAAAGCCCGATCCACCCATCCATTTGTACCAAGTCATGGAAGTGATTTCCTGGCTGGGGACGACTACGGCTGAATAATCATGCTCTTAGTCTGCCCGATATGGTGATACTGTCGTGATAGCGATACTAAAAATTCTGAGCTTCTTGTATTAGCCATAAATATCTGGTGCGTCGCGAATTGGTTTAAATCATCTGCCAGTAGTGAAGATCCCCGGATCATGCCCTCAACGGAAGATCAGTAATAAAGAAAAACAAATTAGGGCAAGCACTCCTTGCAGGGACGGAAATATTACAGTGATCCCAATGAATACGGACTAACCTTACTCCAGCTTGATCTGGACCAAAGGGGAAAGCCAAATATAGATACCGAGAGGGATGGGCTTTCGTAATTCCAATTTTCTTAGTATTTTCAAAAGCCTCATATGGTATTCTAAGTCGAATTTCACGCATAAGTAATAACAAGGTCGAAGATAATGGATGGGTAACAAACGTTGATAGTATAAGGTCACAGAGAAGAATAAATGAAACTTGGACTTGAAAATGCCGCCGACTCCTAGGGTCCGAAAGGAGTACACTGAGTCATAATCCTCCGAACCCAGTAAAATTACCGTGAGCATAGACAACATTCGATTGAAAGCTGGCCTCAAACAGTACAAAATAATTCGATAGACCTTAATGGCCGTTATGAGGACTCCATTCGGGCCCGAACGCCTGGGCGGGCCCTAAAAATTGCACTGAAAGCATGCCGGCCCACAATTCCAAGAGCCAAATCGTAAAGTGCGTCCGCACCTTGCGCCGCTGAGAGCGACCGCGGGCGTCGGTCAGCCGCTCCCTCGCCGGAGGTATCTTTTGGAAGGTCCACACTGTTGGAGCCAAGGGCAGTCTCTCATTTGGAGAAGGGAGGTAAAAGGTGAAACCCACGTGGCCTAGGAATGCACGGCGTGCGACCAAATCCACTCGGAGATGGGCGGATTCAAAGACAATTGGACAGAAGGGCCGAAAGACATCGGGTTGGCAATATTTCACTCTAGTAGGACTGGCATTGTAAATACAGTTCACGTTTTGGTTGACGCTTCAGAAACATCTCAATGGCAAGCGTGTCCATTGTCCTGATAGCCCTGACTGTAGAGCAACCCTCCATCTCCATCTTTGCATCATATATTCCGCCCTTTCTATTAGCTCTGCTGGGGCCCATGCTGTAAGCCTGTTGCACCGCCAACGGAAAACGGTAGCGGCTCAAAGAGCTACCTAGGCAACAATACTTCTCTGTTGGGATTCTTTGACTCCATGTATTCAGCGATTTGTCCAGCGCTGAACACAAAGTTTTGGTAGTTCGCAATGCAATCAGCATCTACCACACAGCATGCATCTGGCCGCTGTCAATAAACGCTGATCGGGAGATTCGTTGACTGGGTAGCTCTGAAACAGCATGAGACAAATTGCTGCGTTGATGCGAGATTCTTGGGGCACGGTATTCCAACACTCTCTGCCATCATGACCCCTCCAGATAAACGCCTCGCGGTGATAAGGGTGTCCAATTATTTGAACAAGAGTATCAAGGATGTTCATGCTGGAATACAAGGGCATAGACGAGTGGGAAGAGATGTTGTGAGGATTTCATCGTGGAATAACAATATGTTCCATGACTATATAGCGAATGTCAGAGATCCATCAGACATAACGAGGATCGCCTGCTCATAGGAGAAGCAGGTCTGCAATGAAAGTCGCCGACCAAAAACGTATCAATCAATCCCCGAAACCTCCGGGGATGAGTCTCCCGCCACATCAGCAGCGTGGCCCGCCTCAGACCCCTCTGCGCAGCCGTTGACGAACGAGAGTCCGGCTTTGGCGATTCGACATGTCGCGGAAGACCCTTGGCAAACCTACGAGGCGATCATTGAGATTTTCTAGACCGAACGGGTTTTCCTTGCCCGCCATCGAAGGAACAAAGCGGAGCTTGTCCACGTCCAACGCCTGGAGCAATCCCCTTCTGTGGCTGCCTTGCGCGAGACCATGAGCCAGCTATCGCATCCGAGCTTCCGTACACTCCTCGAGACTTATCATCACGCGAACCATGTATTCCTGGTGTGGGAGCCGGTGGCACTCTCTGTGAGCCAGGTCCTGGCATCTAAGTGCCTCGTCACGGAGAGTGAGATCCTAGCGATCGTTCGGCCTGTATGTGGTATCATCATTGATCCCGGACTATCCAAACTGACGTGTAGTAGGTCCTCGAGGGAATCAGGCATCTGCGCGACCGGGGGAGAGTGCTCGCCACCCTGAGCGCCGACACCATTTTGCTTATGGATGCTGGAGGGGTGCGGATTGGTAAGACCCTTGGAGACGAAGGCATAGGCCATAATGCTAACGGCGGTCTATCGCATAGCGGGGGCCGAGCATAGTTGTAAGATTAGCCTTGCGTAGATGGACGCCGCCACGTCTAAGCTGTTCGCCCTGGCGGAGGTTGTGACGAAGCTGATGCAAAAGAATCCACCGCTGTATCAATGGAGTGCCGAGATCACGAGTCTACCGAATCAATTAAGGAGTAAGTCTATAGAGGAGCTCTTACAGGTTAGTCTTGCCTTTCTATGTCTGGTGTTCGCGACTGACTAAATAGAGTAATATCATTGGGGGGCAATCGCGGTATGACGGGGAATTGAAGTTGCTGGTGTGCGTGGCCAATAAGACCGCCTATCACCGAGTTGAGTCTTTTTTTGACCGTTTGTGAAGAACGCCATAGTATTCTGTCGTGACACGGCAGACCCTCGATTTTTTTAAGCGCGAAAGCGCGATCATGGTGGACTGTTAGACGCCTGAAAAAGGGGCGGGCGGGGCCGGCAAAAACGCTGTTACTAGTTATTAGCCGCGCCCTGATAATCCGCTACTCTAGTCGGTCTCCAGCCACCTGAGGCTTAGACAATCAGACTGGAATTTTGACTCTGGAGATGGAATTGTTTTAAGGCGAAATTGTTTGATTAAGTTTGATAGGGTTTAATGTGGCAATCCTATTCTATGCACTCTGTACTCATACTTGTATTATTTCTGATGTTCCTGATTGGCGGTGTGGTGAGGTGCTTCTCTCTAAGAATATATATATATGTATATTGTACGTATATAATATACTGCCTGCTTGAAGTCGTCCGCCTATGGTTCCTTCACCAGTAACAATATAACATAGACGCGCTATTTTTTTTGATCTACTAAGGCAATAAAGCATGATAGAGCATTAAGAATCCTTCGAAACGCGTAAAGACGCGTGTTAAAGAACAGAAAGGCATGGTAAAGAGGCTTCATTTGATTTCTGTTTTAGGGGTGTAACTGGAGGTGGAACCTGACCATAGAACTCTCACTGGTCAACAACCATAGCCCACTAAGCTACGATAGCAAAAACTTCCATGCAGGAATCACCATATCGCGCTATACTACTTACTTAATTCGAGTGTCGAGTATCCACGTGATATAGGCATCCCTACACGCTCTGGGAGTGGTCTAGTCCCATTTGAGTGGCCATCACTCTATGATCTTTGGTATTCCTTAAGCCGTGTCCGCGATCTCGATCGCAATAGGACCGGTTAAGGTCTCTAGTATATCATCTTTGGATGCGGTATCCTGGTTCTGTAATAAATGTGCCTATAATAGTTGTATTACCTCCATAATGCCTGTTCTTGCCCGGACTAGCTCCCTTTCCCGGTGGTTCGACTAAGATACCATAGTCTCTATTTTAGTCTAAAGTGCGCAGATTTAGGCGCGAAGACTGCGCCCTTCACTATTAGATGCCTCTAAATAGGTACGCGTGCGATCTAACTCGAGGCTCAAGCTGTGATTGGCGTATTCGAGACTATGCAGCTTGGCGGTGAAGGACCTATCTGACTCGCTATCACGGTTTGTCCGCTACTTCCAAATACCTTTAGCGTTAGATGAATAGATAGATTTCGAAAGGAGCCACGCAACTCACCTTTGCTACAACTATTCCTTCGGTCTTACGACCAGACTAGGAACCCTATAGGACCTGTGGCGAGATAGCCTTAAGCGAGCGACCGAGCTCTTTGTAGATAGTCTATAACAGACCTACCGTTCCGCTACTCAGGTTCGACTATAATAAGAAGGCCATTGGCTCCGTGACGGACTAGGCATATCTATCCTTAGGAGGCGGCTATAGGCGGACCTAGGCGGGAGCGATGACGAGGCTAAGTCGATCGTCTAGGGAAGTTAGCCTCGAGAGTATGGCGGTAAATGAGCGACTAACGAATGTGGGCGGCCAGAGCTTCTCGATATTGTTGTTTCAATAATGCGCGCTTTTCGTTACTACTTTTAGCCATTTTGCTTTAGTTAGCGATGCCATGTTCCTGCTTAATGCTTTTATTTGTAACCCCTCCACCAAAGCCCGGCGAGGAGAGCCCGTCAAAATCGCCTCCATCGGTTAGATTAAGCATGGTTCGTGATATATTATGGTTAGCTTACCTATCTGTTCAAATAATGGTTAAGTCGTCCGTTAAAGCCGTCCGTTGAAGCCGGTCTTCACCTCAAAAATCTAGCAATGACAATGTTAACTGAAACGCCAGATTCTGGCCACACTGATAGCCTTAAATAAACTATAATCAACAGAATTCAGATAGGTACTTCAATAGCGGTCATTTATTGTCCACCACAATCACTCTTTCTCAAAGTCGGTCTAAATCGATCCATGCGGGTCTCGGTGGGTCACCAGTTAGACCCACCTTGCGACGAACTAAACTCTCTACCGCAGTGCTTCAACGCTAGAAACGGCCACCGCTGTCATTTTTGAGGGCGCATCTATGGTTCAATTATCTATAATAAGATCTCCGTCCGGTAACTGACATGGATTTAGAGGTACAGAATGTGAGGAGTGGTGAAGTACGAGCGGTGAAGAGAGGGTGGTAAAGAGAGGGTGGTGAAGAGAGGGTGGTGAAGAGAGGGTGGTGAAGAGAGGGTGGTGAAGAGAGGGTGGTGAAGAGAGGGTGGTGAAGAGAGGGTGGTGAAGAGAGGGTGGTGAAGAGAGGGTGGTGAAGAGAGGGTGGTGAAGAGAGGGTGGTGAAGAGGGTTCTTCAACTTTCGAGAGCTAGCCTTTTACTCGCTGTTAGTTGACATAAACTTCAACGGTCAATGCGATGGCCCCTTTTCAGCCTAGATAAAAGGGCAGAGAACTAGTGCCCGTGAGTGAGGATCATGTGCAAAATCAAGTTCAAGTTTATGACCGAACTGGTAAACTTTGCTATGAGAGGGGCATCTCTTTCTATTGTGCCACTCCCACCAATATTTCCAGTGACTAAATCAGACTTTAAAGCGGTAGAGAAGCCGCCCTACATACATGGCCTGAATATTAATGCTTCATGGACAGCAAGCGAACCAGCATGGTAGACTGCCGCCCTAATTGAACCGAGTAGAACGCGGCGTATAGTTCCCCGTCCCGCTAGTGACCGTCAAGTCTTCCGCTGACTCATCATCGCCTTCTTTCCTCCCATAGGCTCTGGGCGGCTCGCGAGACCCCTGCCACGGACCCTTTCGAACTAGGTCTGGAGACATAGAGGTTGATCTCGAGAGCCGGCTAGCTTAGATCGCCAGATTTATTGCTAATGTACTGCTATTGGTTCCCGCTTAGGAAAGCCTTGGCCGCGTGGTCACCGCCGATGGCAAATTTAATACTATAGAAAAGAACCATACGACAGTAAAATTCTCCGCATTCATTGGTCGTATATTCGTAATTAATCTCTGTTACCGTGAGTGCTTAAGATCCGCCCTCCTGTGTACCCTGCGGTCTTATCCGCGGTTAGTATCTAACTAGTTTAATAGAGTCCCGAGTGAGAGTCATTGGCTACTCAATAGTCGTAGTGAACGGCGCTGAGGGCCTAATGGCTGGGATTTAGTGGAAGGACCTAAACGCCCGGCTAATCGGGTAGATCGGCGCGGACCGGGCGTGTTAGACCGGTTAGGAAGACGTAACCCTTCCACCGCTGGCCGCGGCGTAGCTGCAGTAGTTAAAGCGCTAGTATCGTGTTCTAACGAGTTCGTCTATTTAGCATTGGCGGCGCTTACTGAATGAGCCCCTCATGGCTGATATTTCGCGACGAAAGCTCCGTCGTACATACTATTCTCCAGTCAGTGATATTCGGCCTGCATCGGTTGATCGCGCCAGATATTACTTACCATTATAGGCATGACGTATAATATCCAGGCCGCCATATCCCAAGCCATAGTTCCATACAGTCCAAGTGAGCCATAAACCTGCATCCTCCGCAATACAGAGTCACCTCGTTCTCATACTCTCCGTGGCAGATATAGCATTCCTCGCGGCCTGAATTGGAGCTTTGGGGTGATCTATAGGTAAAACGTTTGAGCTTCAGAGCCTGCGGCCCCGCCTTATCATTCGCAATCATCAAGTGGGCGGGAGCCTCGTCTAATACCGACCAGGTCACCTAGTTCTCCCGAAGCATAGCTGGCGTGACCTATCGGTCTCTAGATAACGGACCGAGTTGCGAAGGCACCGAGATAGATAGGCTAGTAAATTCAACGCCATCCATTGCGCGGGAGCGCGACTAACTCCGCCTTCCAGTCCGCCTTTCAGGATCGATAGCGGAGTGTCTTATTGATCTGACTGGCCTTAGAGGGCGGCGAGTCGCGGGTTGAGACCGACACGTCTAGGGCTGATTCCGAATCGCGGCTTCGTACCATCGCTGCCCGACTAGATCGGCCTAGCGCAGCTGGTGCCATCTCGTGTAGAGGAATTCTACTGCAATGTCGCGCAACTTGAGCTGGAGATTGTTGACACTAAAGGGTCTCTCGGCGAGGGCGTCTAGCTTCTGGCGACCGCTCTTGAGAACCTCTTTTCTCACCGCGTTTTTGCACTGGTCGCCTTTTTGCGTGATGCCACAGTAGGCGTTCCCGTGTTTAAAAGGTCCACTGCCCATCTCGTAGATCAAGAGCGGGTTCCACACCCAAGAAGGATGATCCATTATCTCGGGAAGTAGGTGTGCAATAAGACTAGAAAGAAATGTAGGTGTGTTGGGCTCAATAGTGAAAAATAGGTAAACGACCACGGCGCTGGAACAGCAATTTATAGTCAGTCTCTCAAGCCATCGATTGCTCGAATGCATCACAGAAATTGGCAATCTGCTCAGCAACACTAGCCACGTGTGAGGGAGAATGCATGTCTTCTGGAGAAAACCATGGCCCCTGGGAAAGTAACCCGAGCTCCTAAAACCCTAATGGCGGTCTCTGGGAACCAGTCACCAAGCCCCAGGAATGCCTTTGCAGGGTCTGGGAGCCAGGCGCCCCCTGGAAACCAACCGCCACGGCCTGGGAACTGCACTGTTTATCCCAGGGGCCTGCGTTCTGCTAGAAGGTCCACTAAAAAAGGCGGAAAATTCTCAATACATGTCCACAAAAAGCAGCCGTGCTAAGGCTTATCATCCTTATACTTATGCGCATATAAGTATATAAAGGTGGTTGACTTCAGTAAAGATCATTTCATTGAACCCCACTTTCACCTCTCCTCGCAAGCTCAAAGCTTGCTTTTCAAGTCCAACTTCAATATGCCACTAAACAGAACGAAGCGAACGAAGCAAGTTCACTTGTCGGCTGCCGTCCCCCCACCAAACATTCGTTCAGTCCCATTCGCCGAAAGCAAACGGAGACTTCCGGGACGCAATACATATCCTTATTTTGCACAACAGGGCGTGCAGGGCATGCAGGGTGCAAGAAGGAGAGCGGAGATGATCATCACTGAAATCTCCGCTGAATGCACAAAGCTGCTTGGTACCAACCATAATACCAGGATCATGCTACAAAAAGAAGAAGAGGAGAAGGCAGAACTTGAAACCCAGAACACATTGGAGGTTGAAGTGGCATCTCGGAATGTGGGAAGAACACCAAAAGATCCAAGAGCACTCCCATGAGAAATTTTCAAAGCTGCTGTGGAACTCATTGAAACGGGAGTTCGTAAGACTTGCGTGCAGCGGTGGAACGCAAGGGAAACATCGGGCGATGTATGTCAAATACATTGAATGTCTGATCGACGTTCCGCAATTCGTTACTTATTATTTTTGCTTCTATGTACTTGAGCCCATAGTATATCATATCATCTATCTCTGCTCACAATGAGTTCGAGTGCTTTACCAAATGAGGAGCGTGCCTTAAGGGATGACGTTAATCGATATACCTGGTTTCACGAGTCACAAAGAAAATGGAAAGACGAAGATGATAGACATGGAGGCATGAAGCGCAGGCTTTTCAACCTAACATTCAATAATGTGGCTTTTTTTCAACATGTCATTAGCCCGGACCCTTTCCTGATCTACATAGGCCAAAGTGACTCAGGTACATGTCCCTTTGATGCAAGTTGTAGATATCATCAGACTTGAATTGCTGCTCCCAGGAACTGGCGTTGCGTAATTCGGTCTGTGAAACAAGAAAAATGAATTTCCTATTTCTTAGACAAGGCTACCACGCCAGTCCAAATTATTTAAAAGCTAGCGATCTGCCTTCATTCCGATTATATCGCTCATCGTTCATTGACAATACAGTGCTCATATTGCTTCGACATGAAATCACACCAGGGCAATCCTCAATTTGCTTACGGCAGCACGAGCCAAACTTTGCAGCCACCCCTTCATGAGCTTCCTACCTCCATATCTATAGCTACCTCTGCTACTAGCTCAAACAATTCCGAATTGCTCCAGAGGGAGGGGAAACTTTTGATCAAGACTTGCCACGGCCAGTTAAAAGGAAGCAAACTACCGAGCATCAAGTCTCCCACAAAAGCGATATCGATACACCAAGAGCGCCTCTCGTACCCGTGGTCACCAATTACCAGCGATTCGAGAGGTTTTCAGTCGGACACTCCCACAACCTACGACCGTCAGTTTTAAGCTGGTTGATGATACAATCAAATATCTGCAATCAGTCTCTGTTCACCTCTCGGCCCCCGCAACCATTTTTTTCGAGAAGGGGGCCACGATCCTTATGGTCACGAAATTGCTCCAGAGTGCGTACCAAAACATTACCATGATAGACGAAGCACACACGAATGCTGTTGCATATTGTCTTCCTGCACAGACGCAGTCAAACCCCAAGTGCGAAAATTGCGTTGCTGCTGAGGAGGAGCGGTGATATGACTGAGACGATTATAATACACCATGGTCTTATTGGCCACCTTTCGGCATTTGAAGTGGCCACTCACCACTGACAAGAGGTTGAATACAATGGAAATTTCATTCGTCTATATTATGAATTCAGTTAGTTGATTTGGCAATTCCTAATCTCGACTATCGCAACCTTCACGGGAATTAAGCCTTCCTTCTTTGGCTTTTTCATTCTATTCAATCAATAAGATAGTTTGCACTGATTTAGCTCAGCTCAGTCTCATCCTCCAAATGTACAGTCTATTCCATGAGAGCCGACTATGTTTCTTACGTCTCACGCTGGAATTACAACTAAAATCGCCCTTCTGAAAGCCCTCTGGCTGAGCGGAACAGGAAGATACAGTTCGGCAAAGTTCGGCAAAGTACATGAGACCACCACAGCGGCTCTGGGCTCGGAGCGGAAGCCAGAAAATGGACCACCACAGTTCACACCGGTGAGTCAGCAGATGTCAGTTCTCTCTAGTTATAACTACCGAGAGCGGTTATCTTCTTGCGTCTGACCCAAACCCCTTTTTTGTCATTGCTCCCTCTTGCTGCACCCGCGAAGCCGATTAAAAGTTTTATTATCATGTTTGATATTATACATACATTTTACTATGTCTGACTCATCATGGCTAGTCTAACACTCATCACTGTTTGACTTCTGGTAGGAGCAGATGCTTCTGTGCTCCATATAATGACGTGGCTTCAAAAGCAAGCCTCCATTATGCAGCCAGTACTCGGTGGCGCTCCCGCCTGAGGTTCTTGCAGGTATATGTGATGTAAGACCCGGAGTTGGGCTTGGCCAAGTGGTTCGCTCATGACAAATAACAAGTCTCAAATAGCTCACCTTTGGCGTTCATCGCGGGGTTTATCCCCGTTGCCGCCGGCCTTGAGGACCAATGAAGGTGACCTGATAGCTGCGCGCCGTGTTGCGGCGGGCCACTCATACTTCACCATACCAGGCGGCCAAGTTTCTTGGAAACATAGAACTACGCTCATGCATCGTTTGTCACATCCATGTTTTGGAGCCCAATGCATCTATCACAAGCCCAACTGACAGGGTTCCCCGCTCAACTCACTAACGTTCTGTGCATAAATGTCTTGTCCGTGTTAGTTATTTGTCGGATGAATCGAATTGTATCATTACGCTGGTTCAGAGGAAGAGCTACCTTTGAAAAAATATTTCCCAGTATCGTTGGTCACGAGAGCTCCGTCAACCAAGGGTTGATTGATCACAATAGCTTAAGAACCTCACTGACCTGGTAAATGACAGGGTTCCCCTCTTCAACTGATGAGATTCGACGCACTCAGCCGCATGCACGCTGCCAATCATCTTCACAGGTGACAGATGCTCTGAACATGGACGAAACGCCCTCGGTGGGGCTGATCCATGCTTTTCACATCCACAGCGCACGGATAGGGGGCCTTGGACCCAAATAGGGTTTCGCCGAAGCCTAATGATCAACAAAGCCACTCAGTAATATCGATGAATCATCATTGGCTGTGGTCTGAGGGAACTGAGGTAAAACTTCTGTGGTGGAGACTAGAGAATACGAGACAAGTACACAGACGTGACCCATACCATTGGTACATGCTGTTCGACCGTAATTACGTGTTCAGAGAATGTGTCTGTAGCACGTGACTACTGTAATCATCCAGGAGTTGTCAGTTTGTCTGCCGGGGGCAAGCGGCTACCCCGCCCCCATAAACGATCATCTGAACTTACAATCTACGACTTTGCACTCCCGCTGATAGGAAGAAGGCTGCTCATATGCTACTTCAACGTCAATTTATTTTCGATGGCAATGACGCTGCTTATGTCAAGCACCTCGAGGCACGAGTTTCTGACTTGGAGAAGAGACACTCTAGTGCCCACCAACGGTTCCGACCTGTGCGCTGTGAGACTTGTAGTAGGACATTCACTGATACTAGAATCACCCCGGAAAACGAATCTGAGACCGATCAATCGCCAGTTCGTTCAGGAACGGATCGCCGCGCCGATCAACAACAGTCAACATCGTTGAACTGCGATCCTTTAGACAATACATCAAGCGAAAAAACTAGCTTTAAGATTGTTGTGTGCGATCCACTCGCGGACCACTACCGACGCTCTCGAAAAACCAACGGTGAATACAATCAAACTCAACTCCAACTGTTCAAGAATTTTGTCGGCCTAATAGGCACTTTGCCGACAACATTAGAATGGAAAAATCGTAACTTGGGGAGAGCTGCTTATCACTGGGGTAATATAAGCGTCTTTAAACTGAACTTGCCAGTTCTCCCAGCGAAGCAACATAGACTCTTACGGGCTACCCATCTTTCTGAGCCCGCGCCCATTTCCTCCTCTTCAAACGATTCATCATTGGTGCCAGTTTGTTCATCTTTAACTGTTTTGCCATGCACACCCATAGAAACTCTACTTTCGGGTTATATCAACGTACCTGAAGTATCTGAAAAAATAAACGCGAACTTTCGAAAGCTCGTACTCTGTTTAGCCTGCTTAGTTACTATGGAGACTACCCATATCAACTCAAAAGATGATGTTTACCGAGTACTGAGGAGAATTCTTGAATCCAATGCTAATATTAGTCGGCTTCAGTCCCTTTACCGTGGGGCGAGATGGATCACTCAGGCCACTTCTCTATTATCGACTACAGAATGGAAACTATGGAGCTGGGATATCCCGTATCTTGGTATGCAGGTCCCTTCCACCCAAGGAAGATACTTATTAACATTAAGAAGCTGGAAAGAGCCTTAACTTCTACGCTCGATTGTCTAACTATTCCGTTCGACCAGAAAGCTTTATAGAGGATGCAAAGCAATACATTACGAAGAGTCCCAATATATTAAGCTGCCTGGAGGGCTATCCAAATTCGTCACTAGCTACACCGATTCCCTTAATCGTGGAGACAGTCCTGTAGAAAACAGTTCCGTGAGTCCTCTACCATTGCAAGTAAGGGAGCACTACTAATAGCCGTGCAATCAGATTAAAGAATATTTTTGAACATCTTGGATGTGATCTGCCTCATCTTAAAATGTTGCGAAGTGGGATTTCTGAGCGGCTTCCAAGTGGCAAGAAACGAGGAAGGCATCAACCAAATTACATGCCAAAAAGGAAGAGGCACTGCATAGATAATCCAAAGCATAAACGTTAGTATCATTTGTATTATGGTCTGAGCACTGGGTATTAACGAATTATTGATCTTCAGATGGAAATCACGTGCCTAGGCAAGCCTTCTCAATGAACATCGAGAGAGATGAGCTGGTTTCGCTCAGTGACAGCACGACGATGGAAGACGTATCGTTCAGCACATACCAAAACCCGGAGCATGGCCAGCTGGCAGAAGCATCTGGAACAAATGATGGGTGGTTCAGCACATACCAAAACCCGGAGCATAGCCAGCCGGCAGAAGCATCTGGAACAAATGATGGGTGGTTCAGCACATACCAAAATCCGGAGTTTAGCCAGCCGATAGAGGCATCTGGAACAAATGATGGGTGGTTCAGCACATACCAAAATCCGGAGCATAGCCAGCCTGCAGAAGCATCTGGAATAAATGATGGGTGGTTCGGCACATACCAAAACCCGGAGCATAGCCAGCCGGCAGAAGCATCTGGAACAAATGATGGGTGGTTCAGCACATACCAAAATCCGGAATTTAGCCAGCCAATAGAAGCATCTGGAACAAATGATGGGTGGTTCAGCACATACCAAAACGCTGAGCTTGGTGAGCTAGCGCAGGTCGGAGATTAATAGAACAGCAGGTTGTTCAGCACATATCCAAATCCAGAAGTGGGCGAAGCCGCGGTGCAAAATGATTCAAATTCCGCTCTGACTACATATGCGACACCTGAACCAGAAATTTGATTCAAGGACACTCCCTAGATTGGCTCAAGCAACGTATGAAATCATCTGGCTCTACATTTTGTAAAGCACGTTGAGCTCCCCATTTATCGGTGTCTTAGTGTAATATACAGATAGAGTAGGCCGAAACACAAAGACTGTGCAGGTCAACGTTTTTAAACCGCTGTAAGAACTAAGAGATGGAATCTTGAAATCTATACATCCAATATCAAATGAAAACATGCGCTTGTGTCCTCTCCTTCAGCCTATTGCAGAATGATTATCAAATAATCCAAGAGTGCATTTAATTGCAGGGTTTTCGTGAGGCGAATATAGGTGCCAGGCTCAAGGACTTCGCCTGCAACCTGAATGCTTCCGGGACTGGTGCCTTCAGACGTTGACCCGATGTACAAAGGGAAAAGAAGGACCGAGCGATGATCATCAGGTTTATCGATAGACGAGTCTCCGTTTATACGCTGCAGTGAAGCAAGATGCTATCTTCCATTTAGAACCTGATATTCGCTTGAGGGGAACAGCGATTTTACCGGTACGTTCGCGTATCCCAGTTTGACCAGAAATGGACGGACTCTCTCCTCGCGCGCCTTATCAACGCAGACCAAGCGATTTTTCTTTCCTCTTTCAGGTTCCATTTGAGCGCTCTTGACCCATGATACCAAATCTTCAAATTCCTGCTGCGCGTCGGGGTTGAACTTTGTGGAGGGCATGGCTTAGGAAAGCACCTAGGTTACTGCACTGCAATAAGCAACAGGTTTTCTCGAAATCAGAATCATACGTAAAAGTGACTTGCCTTTTTTTGGTCGTTCAGAGCAACGAATTCAAGACATCCACCTTAAGAGGGGTAAAGGTGGGATGTTTCAATGCCCGATCTCTTGGGTCCTTTCACGGATTAACTAATTTCCGGAAAGAGCTCCCCGATATCCCGTTCCCTGACTGGAAGCAACTACGGCTGAACAACCCTGCAAATAAATAGCCCGGTTGGTAAATGTGTTGAGATAGGGATACTGAGAAATTCCGAGCTTTTGTCGTTATTGTAAATATCTGGTGCATAGTGCTAATTTCTTTGAACTACAACACATTTCATCATACGGATACCTACCATATGGCACATATTGTGAGGTACAGTGGCGTTCGATGAGTTTGAGACAGCCCTTTTTACCGCTTGTACCACCGCCTTCTATGTCAGGGTAGCTTACCTAGGCATGCCACATTTTGACACATTCCAACCCCGATATCTTATGTATAATCTGTTGAATATGCCTCCGACTCGGACTAGCGCTTATTATTTTATTTATTCCTGAGGCTTTTCACGACCTTGGGTCGTATGTAGCCCCCTAGCTAGTGTGCGCTGCACCTTCGATGGAGCCGATGTCACGCCAGCGCCAACAGCAAAACTGCTGGGAGTGGTGTTTGACCAGGGACTTCGGTGGAAGGAACACGTTCAGCAGGCCATCAAACGCGCCACGAAGGCGACGATCGCCTTAGCCGGACTACGGCATTTGCGCCCAGAGCAAATGCGACAGCTCTATCAAGCATGCGTCACACCCATCGTAGACTATGCATCGACGGTCTGGCACGATCCGCTCCGGGACAAAACCCACCTGCGCCACCTAAACACAGTTCAGAGGTTCAGAGAACCGTGTTAATCCGGGTATTATCGGCATTCAGAACGGTAGCAACAACAACGTTAAAAGTGGAAGCCTACATACTTCCCACACATCTTCGTCTCCGCCGAGCGCAGCGCACCATCGCGAGACTACATACACTACCGTGGGGCCACCCTATTTGGAGGGCATTGGCACGTGCCCACAATCGGAGAAACAAAATAGGATCGTACGTGCGCTTCCCCCTGGCGGAAGCATTGAAAACCATGACCGTCGATAGGCTCAATGGGTTAGAAACGACCCAAACCCGCTGCCGCCGTGTGGTCGGTCATTGTTCACCACAACCGCTCTTTTCTGAAACCGCGTAAATTGATAAATTCATGCGGATCTTGGTGGATCAGCAGTTGGGCCCACAAAACGACGAGACTGAGATCACGTGCAAACATATCCACGGACCACATGAGTCCTTAATGATTGCAGTAGTCACGTGTCAAAGACACAGGTAGATCACTTACGCTGGAGAAATTTATCATCTCCTTCTAATCCTTTCTTTGACCGACACCATCTCCCGGATATCTTCATTCTTCTGTCAATCTCCCGAGCTCCTCCCACGGTTGCTCCTATCCCTCCGAGCTATCTGAAGCTAATATATACGATTGCTTCTAATTGCTGATGCATGGTAATGAATGTCTTCGTTTAAATACACTCATGTAGTCCCTTCTTTACAATCACAGACTTCGAGCTCAGAGCTCCTGTGTTCTGAACCGCTCACTGTATAGCTTGGAAGGCATTTCGGCGAAGTCCGAATTTGTAACACTCATTGAGTGTTCCCATTCGAGACTAGTGGTTCCGTAGATCCCCTCCGTATTTCACTCCAGCCCCTATTCTTCTGATTCGATTGCTCTACCATGCGTGTTTTAAGGTGTAAGAATAGATATTATTGTGATGTAAAACTCATGCTGAAAAGAACCATGGCTACAATGTAGGGAGCAATCTCCGCACTGTTATTTATTTAAAAGATCAAGTTGATTCCTGCAATTACAGCCCTTTGTTTCTCTCGAAATCAATAACCAACCTTCCGTCACAATACAACTTACGACGTACGGTTCCATGGATCCCAGAAGCAACATCTCCTCAGGCTCAACGCTGTATTAATATTGCTGTTCATTCGGACAAGGCGTGATCTTATATCGGACTTTGAGAATGTACAGCTCGGAGGCATGCATGTGTCTTGGGTAGGCATCAGCCGTTTTAAGTGGTGACATTGGTCTAATAAAAGAGGGTAGTGGAAGCGGGGCTATCTGAATTACACCGAACCATAGGGTCTCAAAGAACCATTCGTTAAGAGGATTGGTTCGAATTATTTTTCTCACAATGCGCTAATGCATCTAGCACGTAATTGAGCCGGACAAAGACGCAATCCGTGTGGTGTCTTCCTATTTACAGATCCGGGGCATGTGCTAGTGCTATGACTAGTCGCACATTCCTGTGAGGTAACGGACAAATGAAAGCTTTTGGACGTATCGCATGCGACTTGAATTCCCGTTAGCGGCCAAAAGGCTAGCCTCAAGTCATATCCAAATTGAGCTGCAAGGTCTGTGCTTTTTGAGGCTTCTCTCATTGGTTAGCATCAGCTGCAAAGGCAAGGTGGGCCTAGATCCACGGTGCCAGCGCTGTATGCGTACTGTTGATTGGCTACAGACGACGTGGAGGTGCTGCAGCCATATGTCACAATCTCACCTGAAATCCAATCGTCCCCCTGTTTCTCAGCGTCTATGGCTCCACCAGTGTCATATCTCCCTTTCCTAGAGGCGGTAGGTCCATGCTAAGCTGTGATTATACTGCGCATACCAAGCACCCAGAGGCCTTATTTAAAGAAGGTGAAAGCCCTCATTGTGCTATTGTAACAAGATACAAAAAGTCCCAACACAACAAAACAAAGCACTGTCAGTACTCAGCCAAATCCTGATATATATACGAGGCTGACCTTCGACGTTCTTCTTTTTAGATCCGATACACGACATAAACAATGAATTGTCCCAAGTGCGGCTTCGGCAATGTGACCAAGGCAGAGAAGTGCGAAAAATGCCAAGCAGAGCTGCCCCAAGCTGTTTGAACAAGGCGCATTTCTCAACGAGTATGTTGTCTTATAGTTGCATTTATCTCCAGACTAACGTCAAATCTATCAGGACCACTCGAACAGTCATTCATTCAGGTATTCGTTCGCGGGTGGTATAAGCAAGGTGTAAGGTGAAATGATAGGAAAACAACATAGAAGACTACTTCCGTTCGTTACGCGCTCAGCTTTGTTACTCAGTCTATCCCCTTCTGGAAATAAGATAGCAATAAAGCTGCCATATACTGGTCTTCATCATACTCTTATTATAGGGAAGCTAATGGGAAATGATGATGTATTAATGCTAGAAATGAAGGGGAAGAGATAGATCTACATATCCCGAGAGAACAAACAGGCCATATCAAACAGAGGCAGCAAAAATCCTCAACATTTTTTTTGCCAAAAGCAATTATCGTTTTTGTCCACTATCTAGACTTTGATCTCCTCCATTCCATGAACCATTCTGCAAATCTAGGGTAACCGCGTTCTTCAAGTTTTATCCTGAGTCGCTTTCTCCATTCAATGTCATCAACGCCTGAAATTGAGGGATAAAAGTTCAGTCCCGGGGAGACAGAAGGTTTTGTTGAGATCCAGAAACGTGGGTAGAATCCAGCACATTCCCAGTCGATGATTGCCGACAACTTTTGATTGGACACAAGTATGTTTCCTGGCCCTAGATCAGGATGATAGAGATGGAACCGTTCTTCGATCTCCGGGTTCGGATGAAGATCCTCCCTAAAGAAATATGTCTTGCTCTCACACACACTTAAAGGTTCCAACGAATCCCTTTCCGAATGAGCAAGGTAAGGTTCCAATACTGGACCTCCACATACATTCTGGAGTCGATCGGAACTAATAGAAGCGAGTATATCGCAAATATGAACAACCTCATCTAGGATGGAATCTTGTTGGGTAGCGGACATAGTCCCCCAAGCGTCTCTCAGCGTTATACCCGGGACTCTTTTCAACACCAAGAATGATCGATTTCCATCCACCCAGGAATAGACTACCTCAGGTACAGGTACTTGAGGCGCCATTTTTTTAACGAATTTGATAGTTTCACTCTCTGAAGTAGTATCAGAGCTGCAGTGGTGGACTTTGCAGAAGGCATTATTCCCAATGGCCCATACTGCCGACAGGGTGCCTCCTTCATGTATCAAGCGGACCTCGTGTGAATTTGCTGGCGTAAAGTCGGAGGGTTTTTCAGATGTTGCGAGCCGAAGAGTATACCAATATTCTCCGTCTTTCCAGGTAGCTGCGCATGTGTCAACTGGCTCGACAATCCGCTCGCACTCGATTGTGCAGCCAAGGCGCCAAGTGGAATGAGAAACTTGCACAACAGAATTATGAATAGGAACTGATGATGACATAACGCAGGCGTATGAGTGTGACGAAAATAAAAAGTAAGCACTTAAGGGTGGGATTTAATAAAAAGCATGTTGAAGTCGAGGCATGCACACTATTAAATACACCTGTTCAATTCCACACAGACCCTCTGGGCCCACAATGTGATGTATTGAGGGCCAATCACCACTCACCTACCACGACAGGCGAAGTAGGCGCATAATGTGCCCGCTTCTGATAATCGCAATCAGCGGTAAGGGAGGGGGGGCTGGCAAAACACGGTGAGTTAACTGCAACGCGACCAACTACAACAACACCTGGCATCTTAGCAACATAATCATCCATCTCACAGACACACATTACCTCAGTTTCCTCAACCGGTGGATTTGGCCATCCACCGCCTGCTGTTTCCAGCGATGCTGACACGGCTTTTTGGGGGCACGTCTGACCCGGGAATTTGTGATACAATACTATTATTCGAATTTTGCCGTGTTTACTATGTGACAGGATGAGGAATTGATGTACTGGCTAGTACTAAACATGTCCAATAGAGTCAGATGATTGATTGAAGTATGTTGATCGGTTGAGCGATCGCTGTAGACTATTGTCCGTGCTCTAGCGTGTTGTTACGCTGTATCCTAAT